AACCTCCTCCGGCACCGGGACCCCCATACCCCGGGAGCCGCGTTTCCCCTCCAGGATCCGGGCGTCACCCCCTCTCGGGGACAGATCTCTCCTGCGGGACCCGAGCATCCCCTCCCAGACCCGAGGCAGCCCTGGCGTTCTCATCCCCACTCCCGATCCGGACCTCCCTGCAGTCTGCCGGAGCTCCCCCAAACCTGGTCTCGCCCCTCATTCCCCAGGGCTCTGACCCAGCACCCTGGGAACCCACGAGACCTCCCCAATCCCACCTTGGCTGTGCTCAGTCTCTGCCTATCCCTAGCAGCCCCTGCCCCAGTGCTGGGTCCCCGATGGTCTCTCTGGCCCCAGGCCAGCTGAGGACCCTTTCCATGGTGGGATGAGGGGCAAACTGAGTCAGGTGATGGCCCAGTCAGCTCCTTGTGACGCCCCTGTGATCCCCCCTGTGATGCCCAAACCCTCTCCTGGCTCAGGGTGTTCTGGGGGAAAGGGGCCTCAGGACAGGCTCTGACACAGCCCCTGGGTCGCCCAGGCCAGTGAGTGTCCCAGCTTCCATGAGTGTGGGATCAACTCTTGGCCCACTTGGGTGGAAAATCCAAAGCTCCCAGGTCCCTTTTTCCCTCTCCAGTCACCTTGGGATCTATCTGGGACAAGGTGGGATGCAGGGGAGAGTGGGCCAGGGGTTAGGGGGCTGCAGTGCCCCTGCTTCCTGTCCCAACTGCCCCTCCCACCACTCGGCCAGTATGGCTGGAGCAGTGGGGGGGACGCACCACAGCATTTGTGGCAAGGAGGGATGAAATCATATCAAAATGCTTCCCATGCGGAAACTGCTTGTCTTGGGATGGCATTTTTAGGCAGACATGAACATTTTTCAGTCCCACCATCCCCTCACTCCGTGGAGGTGCTGAGCTCCAGGAGCAGTGCTCAGGCCAGGTTAGTGGCAGAGTCCCCCAGGGCAGGCAGTGCCCAAACTGGGGAGGGAGCTGCAGCCAAACCTCGAGAAGAGCCAGGAATGAGGGGCTGTGCCCAGGGGCTGTGTGCCAGCACAGCCCTGTCAGTGGTGAATGCACCTGAGGTATTTCTGTACCCTCTGCTCTCCATCGCTGGGGCTGCAGAGCCGCTGCTGCTCGGCAGGTTAACTGAGACTCCGCAGCACCGAGGGAGCCTTCCTCGCACATTCTTGAGGGGAGAACCCTCATCCTCCCCTCCAGGAGGAGGACATGGTTCACAGAGGCCTGACTTAACTCCTTGTCACCCTGGCCTCTCGCAGCCCTCCTCCCAAAGCCACGTCTCTCTTACGCAGCTCCTGGAGAGGGAATTTCTTGGCCAGGACCAGTCTCAGATATCTTCTTCTGCCCATCTCAAATTTAGGGAAAACCTGCCTGTCTGGATCATTTTTGGGTGGTGCTGTCATCATTTCTATCTGGCAAGGATGCCCATAAGCCCCTTTCAGGATGCATCCTGCTCCCCTGAGAGGAGGTATGTCAGTAGGAACAAGGACCCTAGGGGGTCCCAGCTCCCAGTATCATCCTCTACTTATGATAGCAGGGTTGTAGCTCCAAGCAGGAGCGAGACCGACGTGGGCATGGACCTGGTGGAGTTACAAGGCAGCGTGCAGCAGCACCAGCAGTGTGCTCAAAGCTCCCTTTGTGTCCCGATGGTCTCCAGCTAATTCTCCCCATCACAGCTACATGCCTGGCAATGTGGTGAGCAAACGTCTCTCGCATTGTTCCTTGAAATGATCATTATAGACTGACGGAAGGAGAGAAGCTGGCAGGCTAAGATGCGTTCACAAAAATATCCCCTGCAAGGTCAGTTTAAATAAGTCTCCATCATCATCGAGAGCGCTGCGTGGGAGAGCTCATGTCAGCTCCACACCACGGCTGCTGCGGAGGTGGGCTTTGCTGCTCCTCTCCTGCCACATCCTCTTGGCCTCTGGCAAGGCTCCGCAACCTCATGTTCCTGGGCACCTCTTCGCTTACACCAGGCCAGCCCACATCTCCAGGGGGCTTGTGCGACCCCCAAGCCCCTCAAGCCCTGAGTCCGTGCCAGGCAGGGTGTGGGTGTTTGCTCAGCAACTCAAGCCAGGGCTGGTGATTGGATCCAGGAGGGACCCTCTCAGCTTCCCCCCCCCAGCACTGGCACGGAGCCCAGCTGCCATGCACAAGGCCATTGCCCAGTGTGCCCAGTCCCTACCACAGCCCTGGAGCCAGGAGGCATCATCCCCAAACACCAGAGGACATAGGGGACAGGGGCTTTGCTGGCAGCTAACCTGCCTCCTCTGTCCCGCAGGCTGGTCTCAGGGCAGGAGCAGATCAAAGCTGCTCCCCGAAGCTCACCCCAGCCCATGTCACCCTCTGATTTCCTGGACAAGCTCATGGGACGAACGTCAGGGTACGACGCCCGAATTCGACCCAACTTCAAAGGTAAGGGGAGGATGTGAGGCAGTGACCAAACCCAGCAGTGACCAAACCCAGCAGTGACCCACGCTTATGGCTACCCAAAACCAAGGAACAGGCAGGAGTGGGTTTGGGGGCTGGACCCTGACCCAAGTCCCTCCATCCCAGTGCCCTCCCCAGAATCCCAGCTGCTCCTGCAATAGCAGCCGCACTGTGGGACTCTCCTTGGCACACCCTGGGGTGACCCCAGGGCAAGAAGCAGTGTCCCCACGTTTGCCTGTACAGTGGCACATGGTCTCCCCTGCCAGTGGTGAGAGGAGGCTTTGCACTGTTTTCCAGGTCCGCCTGTCAACGTGACATGCAACATCTTCATCAACAGCTTTGGCTCTGTCACTGAGACCACCATGGTGAGTGATCCCAGCACCCTGGGGCTGGCAGTGGCTCTGCCGGGGAGCTTGCGGGTCCCCATGTCCAAGCCCGTGGCTGTGCTTACAGAGGTCCTGTGAGCCCTTCTCCACAGCCCTGGCACCGTGGTGGGGATGTGCAGAGTCTTAGCAAATGGCTGTGGCTTTTTTGGGGTTGGTTAACCAGGGCTGGGCTGTGCGGGCCATATTCTCCATACCTGAGCTGGGAGAAACACCCCAGAGGGTAGGACCAAGGCAGCCGGTGGTAGCGCCCTGCTGTTCGCAGGCTAGGCAGGTGCTGTACACCACCAGTGAGCTGTGTCCCTATCATCCCCAGCCTCCTCGGGTGCATGAGGAGCTCCTCTGAGGGAGCCCCAGGGCTAAAAAAAAAAATCCCTATTTGTGCTGCTGCAAAGCCTTAATACCATCAACCATCACATAAAAGCCGCACAGGGCCACAGAGCCCTGTGAGGAACGCTGCAGGCAGCAGCTACAGCTCCTCCTCCTCCTTCTTCTCCTCTCGGCTGCCATGGCTTTGGCTTTTTAATTTATTTCTCCTGGTTGCTGCCAGTGTGGGAAGGCTCCTGAGCTGCCCTTGCCCTGTGTCAGGCAAGCAGCACCTGCAGGGCTAAGCCTCAATCAAGAGATACCTTTCCACCTCCTCCTCCATCCTTTCATCCTCCTCCTCCTCCTCCTCCTCCTCCTCCCGGGGCACCGTGGGGTGCTCCTGGCTGATGCGGTGCCCTCTGTCCCAGGACTACCGGGTGAACGTCTTCCTGCGGCAGCAGTGGAACGACCCCCGCCTGGCATACCGCGAGTACCCTGATGACTCCCTCGACCTCGACCCCTCCATGCTCGACTCCATCTGGAAGCCAGATTTGTTCTTCGCCAATGAGAAAGGGGCCAATTTCCACGAGGTCACCACCGACAACAAGCTGCTGCGCATCTTCAAGAATGGCAATGTTCTCTACAGCATTAGGTAGGACCTATCTCTGGTGCAGTGTCCAAGCGGGGAGGTGAAGCTCTTCACCTTTTTCTCCTGTAACTGCCCCAGCTCCAAGCAAACCCCTCCTTTCCTCTGCCTCCTCCAGGCTGACGCTGATCCTGTCCTGCCCCATGGACCTTAAGAACTTCCCCATGGACATCCAGACGTGCACCATGCAGCTGGAGAGCTGTGAGTACCTAGAGAGGGTTCAAGCTTTGCTTTGTCCCCTTATCCCATCCCATCCATCCCATCCCATCCCATCCCATCAAATCTCGGCATCTCCCTGTTTCTGAAGGAGGTGAGCAGGAAGAAGCAGTTGTTTGGGGTGGGGATGAGTGTCCCCCCTGACTCACGGTGCTCCCTGTCCCCTCCAGTTGGCTACACCATGAATGACCTCATCTTCGAGTGGCTGGAGGAGCAGGAAGCTGTGCAGGTGGCAGAGGGTTTAACACTCCCACAGTTCATCCTCAGGGATGAGAAGGACCTGGGCTATTGCACCAAGTACTACAACACAGGTGAGCACCCCAGGGATCCCCTGTCACCCAGAAACCATGGCCTGGGGGTCCATCTTGCCCATCAGAGCCATCTTTCCCCACAGGCAAGTTCACCTGCATCGAAGTGAAGTTCCACCTAGAGAGGCAGATGGGTTACTACCTGATTCAGATGTACATCCCCAGTCTGCTCATCGTCATCCTCTCCTGGGTCTCCTTCTGGATCAACATGGATGCTGCGCCGGCCCGGGTAGGCTTGGGCATCACCACCGTGCTCACCATGACCACGCAGAGCGCCGGCTCCCGTGCCTCCCTGCCCAAGGTCAGCTCTGGCAGTGGGGGGAGACAAGCAAAGTGGGGAGGCAGCAGATCCCTGAGCCCTCTCTCGCCCTCGCAGGTCTCCTATGTGAAGGCTATCGACATCTGGATGGCTGTGTGCCTGCTCTTCGTCTTTGCCGCCTTGTTGGAGTATGCAGCCGTCAACTTCGTCTCCCGCCAGCACAAGGAGTTTATGCGCCTGCGCCGGCGCCAGCGGCGGCAGAGGATGGTGAGTTCCCCCCACCACCGCTGTCACAACTTCTGCCTGTCCTCAGCCACCGAGGGGACAGCCCAGGGCTGCGGGGCCAGTTTCTCAGCAGCCACCAGGGCAGGGCTCCTGGAGAGCCAGGGTCTCATGCTCACAGGAGAGCTCTCCCCTCTATCAGCCCATCAGCACAGGCATCAGGCCTGCGGGATGCTCAGGGAAGGCAGGGAGCTGCCTCCCTCTCATTTTCTTGCTGTAAGCACAGCATGAGGCACCAAATATCGATGGAAAACATAAGCACACGTTCACACCACAGGCTCACAGCCTGTGCAGCCAAATCCCTTCAGCACACGCTGAAGTTGGATCCTGGTGCCTGGGCACTGCTTTTTCCCACCATGTGGAGTCCCCATACCACTGCCATCCCCATCCCAGGACCCAGAGCTGCTGTGCACAGAGCTGGGGCAGAGCCATGGGTCACCACTGTCCTGTTTCTGTTTGGTGCGTGCTGTCGGATGCCAAAAGAGCCCGAGCAGTGGGACAGCCAGCCTGGAGTCCCTGCAGCAGCTGAGCGGCTGGCACGGTAGCGAGCACACCTACATGATGCTCTCGCAGCTCTCTAGCTCTTGGGTAAAGCATGACCCTCTGACAGGGCCCCACACAGTGCAGCCTTACCTTGCTCTCCCAAAAACAAGCCCTGCAGAAGCCAGCCCTGGGGGCCAGGAAGGGCTCATGGATGAAGTAGGGCAGTGACTTTCATAGAGCATGTGCCCATTGGATGGAGCTGCCACTCACTGAGCTGAAAAGAGATTTGAGAGAGGGATAGGAATAGAGGAGATTTCCCTGGCGACACCCCCACTCCATGCCTCAGTTTCCCCTGCTGTAAAGCAGGACCAGCGTGGTCCCCTTTGCCGAGGGATAAGTGATGTTGGGGCAGCCCGATGGCTGCTCCTGGGCTGCTGCCCAGCTCCCCAGGCCATGCCCACACCTCTGGCAGAGTGAGGGCTCTGCGTGCCCAGGTTTGAGGCACTCATGGCTGCAGTTCCCAGGGCATACAGATGCTTTGCAGCTGGAGGTGTAGGGAGGAGCTGTGGGGCCGGGCAGGCTCCCAGGCTGGCAGGGAGATGCTGGGGGACGACCGCAGCTCCAGCGAGGAGATCAGATCTGGTACGTCCCTGTCTCCCCACCCAGCTGGGCTGCCCCGAGCCTTCTCTCCACCATGATCAGCCCTTGGATGCTGGGAGAGGCACTGGGTGCAGCCAGGAGCACCTTGGGTTGCTGCTCGGTCAAAGATCAGAGCAGAGCCCAGCTGCCTGCAGCCCGATGGCAAATTTTCCCCCATGGATCCCACAAAGTCGGGCCCAGAGAGTTCTCTGCACCCAACATCAGCCCCCAGTAAGCACCCAGCAGCTGCCCCAGCCCCACTGAGAGGATCAGCACTCCCAGTGTGCCATCTCCTCCCCCAGAATACCCTGGCTGGGGGAGGGAATAGCTGCTGTCCCCAGCACACGCCCCATTACATCCCCGGGGCACTGCCACAAGTGCTGAGCGTAGAGCAGGGGAATAAAACCCCGCTGCAAATGAGAACTAATCTCAGCAATTCGAGTCACTGTTGCTCTTCCCACTGTGAAATCTCGCTTAGCCGGCGGATTGCTGAGTTAAATAAAGCTGCCACCGTGCAAGCTCTCCGCATGAGAGCCCCCTTGCCGGCTGAGCGCCTGTGCAGGCTGACCTCAGCGAGGAGGATGCTCTCCGCAGTTTGGAGGGCAGTGCCGGTCGGAGAGGGCGTTTAGGATCCAGTATATGGGCACAGCAGGAGGAAAGGGGCTGGCCTGCAGTACGCCCTGAAAGAAGAGGTCCGCCGCAGCCAGTGGGGCAGAGAGGGGACGAGCCACAGAGACCAAACAGGTAGCACAGGGGCTCCTCAGAAGCCAAACGCGCAGCCCAGGCTTGCATGTGGCAGACCCTTGCCAAATCTTTGCACACCCAACTCCCCCCTCCCCCCCCAAGGATAAAAGAGCAGGACAAGGCTGTTGATGATGTGGTGCTGTTGGTGGGGAGGAGCGCAGGCATCGCTGGTCGGCACCGAAGGAGTCGGGAAGTGAGCAGGGCTGTGCTAAAAACGATGGCTGTGGGCTGTGACCCAAGGTTGAGGGCAGACACCGGGCTCTCACAGCACTTTTGCAGGCTTGATCATGGGCATGCAGCCCCTTGGGCACGCTGCCCTCCCTGCAGCCCATCACCAGCATGGGGGGAGATGGGGTGAGCAAGGGCAGAGAGACCAGCAAAGAGTCCAGCTCTCAGCATTCCTCCTCTGCTACACCAGGCAGCCCCCACCAAGCAGCCATGGGGAGAAACGGGGATCTGGGCCCTTGGAGGGACTGGGAGGCCCTGCAAGCCCTGGTAGTAGTCAGGCTCCTGCTTTCCTGCCTGGCTTTGCCCCTGCAAACTGCCTGCCCCCTCCTATTCACTGGCAGCAAACACGGCTGCTGCAGCAGTGCCTGCACCCTGAGCTGCCTGCACCCCAAGCTCCCTACACCCCAAGGCACGCTGAACCCCTGTGCTTTGCACCCCCATTCATCTGCACCCCCTGAGACCCCATGTCCCCATCTCCCTCCCCCTTCAGTTCATCCCCGGCTGCTGGAGAGCCAGACTCCCTGAGAGCCTGAGATGGAGCTGGGAGGAGGCCAGGATGGGGATCAGTGTCAGGGGGATCAGCTCTTGGATGCACCCTGAAAAACACATGCGGGATGACAAGGCAGGGGGTCAGTGCTCGCCCCCACACACACTGCTGCCTGCCCTGTGTGCAGCCCTGATGGCCCCGTGCTTTTGCCTGCGCACTTCGGGCTTTCCAAAAAAAGTGCCTAGCCTTGCGCTGGGCACTGACACGACAGTATCACCCGGCAGGGGGCTGTACAGGACATGCAGCCACAAGCATCTGCTTGCCCTGCAGCATCGGCACCCACGGGGTGCCCCGGCTGACGGCCTTTGCCTTCACCAGGAGGAAGAGCTCGTCCGTGAGAGCCGCTTCTACCTGCGAGGCTACGGACTGGGCCACTGCCTGCAGCCAAAGGACGGCGCTGGGGAGGGCCCTGGCATCTACAGCTCCCCCCGTGCCAGCATGCTGCTGCGGGAAGGGGAGAGCCTCCGCAGGCACTACATCGACCGAGCCAAGCGCATCGACACCATCTCCCGAGCCGTCTTCCCCTTCACCTTCCTGGTCTTCAATATCTTCTACTGGGTCGTCTACAAAGTGCTGCGCTCGGAGGACATCCACGCAATGCCCTGAGGCCCCAAAAAGCGTGACTGCCTCTCGGTCTGACACCCACAGTGCACCTGGGCACCACGAGCTCGGCCAAAACCGCGTTTCCCCCTGTTTTGGAGCAGCAGCGCAGCTGGGCTGGGCCTTAGAGCCTGGACATGTGGCAGTCCCCATGTCCCTTTGGATGTCAGGGCACCAAGCAGGGGGATCAGCAACCCCAGGTCAGCTGGAGAGAGGGACCCATCTTGCACTGTGTCACCCCAGGGATGCTGTGCTGCTGGGACAGCCTCCAGGTACCCGGGAATGCTGCACTGCCATGGCACAGGGGAGCACCTGGTACTTTGGGATGATGCACAGCTGGTGGTCACCTTCCAGCCAAACACCCTCCACCACAATTTCCATGTCAGGCTGCTGCTTTTCTAAGCTGCATCACTGAGCCATGGACCACAAGAAGCCAGGTGAGAGGCTGCAGTCCTCTCTCCTCCCATGGCCTTGAGCTCAGTTGCAGGAAACAGCAGGCAGCAGCCCTGCCTGTGCCCAGACCGTGTGAGGTGCTGGCTATGGCCCCATAGCCCCCAGCCCCCAGCCCAGCTGCAGACAGGGCCCCTCCAGCCCCCAGCCAGCTCCAACGCGTAGGAAAGCAGCCAGTCAGGGACGCTTCCCTCCCTGCAGAGCCTGGAGCTGCCTATGATGCCCACGGCCACAGGCAGGGCTGTGGCAGGGACATTGGGCAAGAAGCTCCATTTCCTCCAAGGACACGCCAGCCCTGGGGCAGGCAGCAGGCGAGCTCAGTCCCACCAGTGGTGAAGGGGCGCAGACAGCCATTGCAGCCATTTGGAGCTGCCTCCGAAACCTCAACAGGACAAGCTCAGCAAGGCTTCCAGCCCTCCAGACCTGGCTATCCTCCGTGCTTTACAGGAAATAAAAGCAGTAGGTGATGTTTATGTAGGCCCTACAGAGAGAAATGTGTCAATGCTCTGCTTTTCCCCTGCTCACAGCTAGCCTGGGGGTGCTTGCAGCCTGGCAGGGTCCATTCCCCCATGGCAGGGCAGGATGGGAAAGGGATTCACCCCTTTTCTTGGAGGCCTTGGGGTCACCATCTCACGGTGAGGGCCACAGTGACGAAAGGGACCCTGCAGGGCAGGGGGACATGGGTGGGAGGCCAGCACTGCCTGCTGAAGCCAGACCTGGGCCAAAACCCCCATCATGGCCCCTTGCCCTGCTCCTCAGGCATCACCATCACCCTCTCCCTCTCCCAGCTCATGGGGAACAAAGCCCTGCATGCCCCCACACCCTACCCAGTCCCCCAACCTCAGCTGCATGCACCAATTTCACAGACGGGGCAAGTGGATGAGAACCAGCCCCAGGCCATGCCCAAGACCCACCAGGACAGGCCGAGTCAGCTCCATCTCACCTCCACTGCTGTATATAACTTCCCCATTGTGGGGGGTCCCCATGGGACCCCACTGTGTGTCCAGGCCAGGCTTCCCAGACTTGTTTCTGGGGAGGCCCTGTTTGAAGGCAGAGGAAGGGGTGCACCTCATCTTCTTGGCTCACCTGGTCCCCACGAGGCAGCACCGAATGGGGAGATGCCAGCACCCAGGCAGCACCAGCAGGCACTGGGTGGCCAAGCCACCCTGTGTCAGTGGTGGGTTTTTAAACAGCATCAATCTTCCTATGCAAATAAAACCTTTCTGGGATTTTCAGTGGTGTGCTGGGGGCTTGTCTCTGCAGAGGACCCTGTGGCCAACTCCAGCTCCTGATGAGGCCCCCATGTGTGGGATGTACAAGGGGATGAGGGCATGACAGCCCTGTGAGGACAGGAGCCCTGACCTGCCATTACACCCAGATATCATTACCTGCATGGGTGATTTTTCTGACATAACTGGTGGGGACTGTTGGGTTTTATCTCCTGTGTGGTAGATGCCAGCAGGGCTGGGCAAGCTCCCAGCCCCAAGGCCCAGCTCTAATCCTCCCCATCCCAGCTCTATGGGGTGCTCCCTGTGGTCACCCCAGCTCCTTTCCATCCACCCAGGTTTGGCCAGAGGACAAGACCCAAGGTGGGTCAGATGTGGGGCCGGGGCGGGGGAGCTCCAGCTCCATGGTGGGGCTCAGACACCCGAACATAGACAGGCATCCCAATGGGTGAGCCTCCCTGGATGGCCCCTTGGTGGTGGCTCGCTGGGTCACTGCCAGCCTTTCAGAGCTGCCAGCTGTCGCCGGGGGGCTTACGCCAGCCCTGCAGTGCCACCCGGGGCTGGCGCTTTTGTCCCCAGCTGGAGCAGGGGCAGGCAGAGCCCGCAGCTGAGGGCCGAGCGCCCAAGCAAACATCAATCTGCCTCTGTCCTCCTGGCCAAGTTTCACAGACCATCTCTGTTGGTACCTCGCAGCCCTGTCGCCTGCCCAGCCCCATTGGGGTCTTCTGCAGCGAGGAGGAGAGGAAGCAAAGTGCATCCACGACGGTTTGGTGCTGGGGTTGTTCTTTAGGTGGGACAAACCAAACCCCCTTGAGGTCTTGCTTCTGTCCCCACCCCAAACCTAGAGAGCACACGGCCAAGGGGAGAGGCAGGAGCTGTTTCACAGCAGCACAGTGTGCCCAGTTTCTTTACTCCCTGCTCTCCTTCGTCAAATGCCAGGACTGGGCACCCAGCGTCTGTTTGGAGATAAATGCTGCAGTCAGTCTTAATCCACCTGGCTCCAGGAACTGACGCATCCCAGAGAGATGAAAATGGTAAAAACCCAACACATCCTTTGTGAGCTGAAGCCCCTGGATCCCATGTGCTGGCATCAGCAAAGCAGGGGGCCTTGCTGCTGGCATGGCAATAGCAAAGGCATGAGGGGACTGCTGCCCCGTGGCCCCATAGACTCTTGAGGTTCAGGTGTCCCTGGGAGCAGTTTTGGGGTCAGAAGCAGCACTCAGCCTCTGTCCCTGGTCTTCCCAGTAGCCCAGTTTGGACTGGGAGCTGCTGGACACCCACACAGCTGCAGGGCTGTCAATGCCCTCCAGCGGATCCCTCACATCCTGGGGACAGTGGCAGCACCCAGGCTGGGGGTGCTGAGCCCCACACCCTCCCGCAGGTCACAGCATGGCCAGGGGCCAGCCCAGGTGGCTCTGTCCCCAGCAAGACCCACAGCCTTTGGATAGACTTGGTTTTCCATTTCCTCCCTGAAGATGTGCATTGGGGGAACACATCTCAGCCACCACAGGAAGCAGCAGTGGGCACGGGACCAAAAGCCACGTTAATTGCTGATTTAAATGGAAGTTAATGGAGTTACACCAAGTTAACAGAACTGTCTGACACTAAAATGAGCATCATTGGCACTGGCAGCCTGGATCTTGCTGGAGCTGAGCTCTGCTGCTGTGCACAGTGGCATCAGGGCACCAAACGTTCCTTTCCTCCCCTCTCCCTCACCAGCGTTTCTTGTCTGAACCCACAGCCTGGAGCTGCCTTGGCACAACACCGACTGCCAGAGGTTCACCAAACCACTCTGTTCGGATGGACTGATGGCCACAGAACAGCATAGCCCATGCCTGGGACACTGGGTTTGGAGGTACAGGAGAGTTTAATGCAGCAAGAACAGGCGACAGCCCTGTGGGGGCACTGAGCACTCAGCACCCTTCACACATTGCCTGGGCATGGACTTTCTTTGTAAAGAAAATACCAAGCTCCAATGTCAGCCCAAGAGCTCTGAGCAGGCCAGGGCTGCTCCTTACAGATGGGGAAACTGAGGCACCAGGTTTGGGCCATGCCAAACCCCACACCCCCACGGCCACAGCCACCCCTCCCGGCACTGCTTTGGGACCAGCAGGGCAAGACCTCTGGGAAGGGGCAGCAAGGGAGGACTGGGGTCCGGAGACAAGCAGGGTTCAGCCCTGCAGTGCTCCCAGGCCCTGAGAATCCAGGATAACTGCCCAGTGTCAGACTATGGTTTTGCACAAGAAAAAAACAACAAAGTGATGAGGTTTTCCAGCCCCAAAAGTGGCTTGTTTTGTCCGACTTTGAGAAGCCTCTGCGCTTCAGCCCCTCAAGGGGCAGGGGGAGGACCCCAGCACTGAAACAAGGAGCAATTATGAAAGCCCGGGCTCTGAAGAGCTTTTGTTCCCTGGATGCGCCAGAGCAGGGATCGGAGGACACCTAGCGAGATGCCTCGATGGCCCCGCACACCAGCGGCACCCAGAGCCCAACAACGCGGCAGCTCCGGTCTCGCAGCGGCCCCGTCCTGCTCCCCTCCTCCGGCCGTGGCGAGGCCCCGGGAGCTCCAGCGGGACCGCAGGGACCGGTTCAGCCCTGGGGTAGATGCACTGTGGGGAAGAATTGGCTCCTCGTTCCCCATTTCCCACTGCTGCCTTGGCTACGAGAGCCTCCACACCCCCCTGTCAGGGGACGGA